ATGTGCCTGGAAAATAAATAATGCTGCACAGAAGAAAGATTAGCGCAACAAATTGCAGGGTTTCCCCCAGTCTATTATAAACCTAATACACTGGGGGATAAAAACACAGAGAAGCTAAATGATGCCACAATCTTCTGCATGAGTGATTTTCACTTCGCTTCTTCCTGTTTTTAGCTCTTCAGTGACATCACTTCCTTGTACTTGAGCAACGCAGCGCCAGCAACCCCTCAGATTAATGAGACAAACCAACAACCCTTCAGAACCGCTCAGACCTTCGGTGCCGAGTCCAAGTTTAACGACCTTCTTCATCCAGAACCTCAGAGCAGCTTCTTATGTGGAGCTATGAACCCAGAGGATCTGTTCCCCAACCAGAACCCAGATTCTTCAAACTTCAAACTGGACCTGAACGGTTCCTTTGGGAGTCCGATTAAGGACTGGACCGGTCCAGATCCCTGGAAGGAGGAGGAGAGGCTTCCTGCATGGAGAGGCAGAGCTGGAGCGGCAGGGAGAATCGTTGAACGTGTCGGTGATCTGTGGGCGCCAAGAGATGCTCCTGATATTTCGTACCTTCAGACATCAAACAGCCCGGTTCTACTGGACTCTCAGTTCAGTTCCAGTCACACTTCTTACAGTGACCTCCAGCATCCCCACAGCGCTCACTTCATCGTCAGTCAGAGCCCTCCTATGGCGGCCATCTTGGATCAAAGCTATCACAGTTTGACCAGCAGCGGTTCTTGTTCTTTTGGATCCAAGTTCTGGAGCGGTCAGGAGAGGAAGAGGAGCGGAGACGCAGCTGGTCTGGTTGGATCGGGTCAGAGCAGCTCACTTCCTGCGTTTCCACTACAAACAAGCAAAACTTTAATATTTCACTAATCAATCAATTTGGAGTTTTGCAAAAAAAAACAAATTTCAATACAAAAAATATTTTTTTAAAAGCCACCAAATCATTTTGTTTTTTTAAATTGATGTGTCTCCATTAAGCAAGTTAATTTCAAGACGTCAGTTTGTGCATCTATATGGTTAATGGAAACACAGCTCATGTTTATTTTATGCTTTCTGTTTCTATTTTGTTTTCTTATCTAAGTGGTTTTGTTTTGCAGTGCTGACGCCGCTGAAGAGGGGAAGGCTGAGCTATGAGAAGGTTCCTGGCAGGAAGGACGGACAGACGAGGCTTAAACTGTTTTAATCTTCTTTTAAAAATAAGATTTTCTCTTTATTTTAGCTGTAAATGTTTCCAGCATTACTGTTCCATATTTATGAGTGTATCAGTACCTCTTTAAAAGTTATTAATAAAAAATAATTCAAATGTAATGAAACTGAGTAAATTCAGTAGCTGTATCTAAAACATGTCACTCATACATGATTGTAATTTAAAGATTTTCACAGAAAAGATGTAATAAAATGAGATCAGCTTGGTCTTCTGTAACTTGTCATGTTAATCTGGGAGAAATTATGAATGGATTAAATCAGATCCTTTACTTCCTATTGGGAACAGTTGGGTAGTAAATAATCACATTTACTGAGAACTACTTGAGTAAGGTTTTGAAAAAACTACTTCTAGGAGTATTTGTACTATGCAGTATGAAAGTATCGCTGCTCTGGAGAGAAATGTCTAGACACTGAGTGACTTCAGTGTTTTAAATAAATATTAAGTTTGTGTTGAAGTTTCATATTGAAAAACAAATTTGGGGGGGGAAAAGCAATACTTTGTTATTTTATAATTGTGTTATTTATATAACATTTACTGGCATAAGGAGGTCCAAGTAATAAGTAGTAAATATTAAATGTAGGATTAATTGTGATGAATCAATTGCTGAAATAATCGTCAACCAATTTGGGAATCGATTAATTGTTAAATAGAGTATACAGATTCTAAAATAGGCCACTTGCTGAAAAAACATATTCAAAGCACATAAAAATAAATAAATTTCCATTTAAGGTTTAAAAACAAACTTTGTAAATAAATTCTGCCAGAACTCCTTCACCTGGAAATCACCTATTAAGTAGCTTTTGTTATCTAATTATTAGTTGGCTTATAATCAATAGATCGACTCTACATCGTATTGATGAGTGAAGCAGAAAGTGCTGAACTTTTAAAATGTCAGGATTTCTTTAGCTCATTTTACAAACGATCAAGCGTTCATTCACTAAAGGAATGCTGTTACTGCATTTTGTGCAATAAAATGTTTTCTTTTGGAAAAAAGTAATTCGGTTTTTTTATCAGCACTTTAAATTCATTTCTAGGGTTGTATAAAAAAGCTTATGTGGTGAAATGAAAAATCTACAGAATTTTCCCATTTGTAATGCAATTCTTAAATCGATTAGTGAAACAGTGGTTGGCTGCAGCCCTAATTAAAATGGTTAAAGTTGCAGTTGGTCGTTCATTTTTTGAGCGCGCTCAGTGGCAGAGGAAGCAGTGATTTATGGGCGGAGGGCTGGGATTGAGGGTCTTTCCCATCTCCGCTGATAAAGTCTCTCATTTTAGCAGCTCCATTGGTGGGGATTCTTTTTTATATATAATTTAGTGAAGCAATCCCCTTATCGTGGTCTCTCAGCGTGTGAAGAGAGTGCTTATCTGCACGAGCCAGCAGACTGAAGCCAGTTCCCCCAGGAATGATCCCCAGACAAAGAGCCCTGGGGACTCCCGGCCTCCGGCCAGCCACCGCCGAGCCGCCATCAATAACCCGCCGCCGTCTTTTCTGCGCCTCGGCCCGGCCTTCCGAGCGGCGGCCGGACAAAGAGAGAGGAATGGCTCCGTTTTATTACTTGCTCAGGAACAAAAGCAGCTGGTCGGGTGGTCAACGGAGTCTCTCTTTGAGGGCGAGGTAAACAACGGCCTAATGGTGCGGTAATGGTTCCTGAACATATTTGAGCGCTGGAGTGAATGGGCCGGCAGCGATAATGTGGGAATTAACAGGCTGTTTAAACCCGACCGGGTCCGACTCTGGATTCAGCTGGAAAGGTCACGCCGCCGTTATCGCTCATCGCAGATGGCAATTAAACCGTCACCTGTGTGTTTTCAAGTCTTGGAGGAATACGACCTCCGGGTCGGATTACAGATCAGGACCAAACGAAAGTTAAAGAAACCGAGAAATATGAAGGTACCACTTTAGTTCTCTGCTCTGCTTAGGACAGAGAACCTAACAGTTACACTCAAGTAGTACTGCTTCAACATATTTTTACTCAAATACAATGTATTTGTTAAAAGTACTTAAATCCTGAGTAACTGAGTAATTATAAATCATTTAATATTTTAAAGTTACATCATCAGATAGAACAAAACAAAAGATTAAGTGAAAATTTTGGTATTTTCAGGACCAAAATGACAATTATTTTTATTTATATAAAAACAGGAACATTTTTCCAAATTTATTTCTTTTTATAAAAAAAAAAACTTTAATAAAATCTGCTTTAAAATTTGCTTTTCATTCAGAGTGTAGAAAATCCAGAATTTTTTCTCAAGTAAGCGATATAATAAGTCATAATAATTACTCAAAAGTAAAAAGTACTTTTAGGAGTAAAAACACTCCTAAAAGTAAATTTTTGTCATAGTTACATTTTGTAAATGTAACTAATAATTTTTTATTAGTTACGTTCACATTGCAGATCTTAATGCTTAGTTCCCTTTTTTGTTCAAACTTGTAAATATTGCTGGGTTTCAGACACGTGATCCGGATGACGCACGAAATTCAGATGGCGGGCCGGAAGTGGATTTCTCCGGTTCGAAACAAAGCAAAATTGATCACAACACCAGTACCCTAATGTCCTAAATAGGCTGGAACACACAAGGCATCTCGAAAAAATACTTGTATATTTAGGATATGATTCGTATTATCTTAGTAAAAAAAGACTTGTCTTATAATACTGAGGATTTCTTACATCTGGCGATCAACATAACTAACCATCTGTTGCTGCTGACCTCATATTATATGAACCAGAAGAAAGGTTTCAAAAGTTTTTCAGCCGAATCATTCAGATCCTCCACCAGTTGTGCTCACATTTTAAAAATCCATCTGAACACACTGAAGATTGTGGATGAAACCTGACAAAATGTGGAAAAGATTAGCCAGTGTTGAAGGGCTTCGTTGTGCAAAATGTTACAAATGAAAACGTAAACAATCAAGATGGCGTGCCCTTGAAGGGTTGTGTGCATTGCATCACCAAACTGAACCACCTGACTCCGAGTGCAGACCTGAGTGGGGCGGACGGCGGCCTGCAGGTGCAATCTCTCGGACGTGCAGCAGCACCCATGAATGGGCGATTCAGAGCAAACGGCCCCCATCGGGGCTGTTCTCCAGGCCCTGGGCTAATCCCGCCGCCTAATCGGATTATGTAAATTCCTACTCCACACATAAGGTTTTCTGGAAGGCTGTGTCTTTGAAACAACACTTGAAGGGTGTAAAAAGAAACTGTGACAATTGGTTAAACTGGACTTGTTATTTTATCTGAACGGGGGTTGAAGGAAAAAAAAAAAAGAAGTGCGGAGTGGCGGCTGAGATGGGAGTCAGACTCTGGCCTCCATGTTTCCTCTAATTTATGTGTGGCCCCTTGGAATCGCTCAACAAGATTACCCTAGTCATAACAAAACACATATTGTTCGACTGTCAATCTGCATGTGGTGTTTTTACCTTTTGTGGGCCAATCAGGCTGAGTTTAAAGGCAGAGCTGCAGGTTTTTCTCCTGGTAGGGCGTCCACACCTAATGTCAGAGGAGCAGAAAGGAATCAGTGTCCAGAACAGTAAGAGAACGTTCTGAACGTCTCAGTTTCATCTCAATAGGAGTTTATGACCTTCAGTGGGATCATTCAGGGATTAAACGACACAAACAATCACCTTAAAGGTGGCCTACTTTCAGTCACTTTAAAAGTTGAACACAAAAACCTGATAAAATCATTTAAAACCATCTAAAGTCACGACCTCCACGGAGCAACATCCATAATTCACATCAATTTATTCACAATAACAATAAAGGAGGTGGAGGTGGGGACTGAGCAGCGACCACAATGAAACGCCACCACGACACACGTCACACAATGGGGCCGCCCGGCTATAAAAGGTGGGATGGAGGCGCCGCGTCTCACCCCGGCTCCTCTTCCTCCCTCTCGCTCCACCGGATCCAGTGAGGATGAGGAGGCTCTGCTGAGCGCAGCCTCAACCAGGGACTCCCAGACCTGCGGACGAAAGCCCTGCCTCCTGATTTCTGCACATTTCTACACAAACAGGTCAGATATTTCATATTTGCTTTGTTTATAGATGTCATTTATAAGAAATAGTGGGAGAAAATTATATTTGCTTTTTTGAAAATGTACCTTTTTCAGCAAGAAAGCCTGCTGAAAATAAAAAAATGAAACACTTTCACTTAATATTTCTCACTAAATGATCATGAATAATGATTTGAAAAAAATCATATTCTGCAAAAGCTTACACATAGATCAGGGCTGAACATTGAACAAAAATGCTATTTTCAAAGATAAAAATATAAAATATGCTTCTTTTTTAAATTGAATTCATATTTATAGCCAAGATTTAGTTTAAAATTTCTCTATATTTTTAGATTAATTTGATTACTTTCATCAAATTGTCTTGTAAAGTGCATTTGTTCAGACCTAAATACTTAACATAATTTCAATTAACTTGTATATTAAACTGAATTGAAATTACATTGAATGTATTTACATAAATTTAAAGAAAATTTTACCTAAAGGTGCTTTGTATAAAAACTGGACACATGATACAGAAATACACAATAAATTATTATCAACTTTTATTTAACCAGGATTTTAAAAACTCCTTGAGATTAAAAATCTATTTAATTATTCTCGTACAAGAGTCGTGACGGCAGAACTGATACAAGAAGTCAATCAACAACAAAACTGTCTAAAATTAAAAATTCAGGTCGTAAATCAGCTATAAAGCAATGACACACACTGTTTCTGCAACATTTCCTAAAATTGCTTAAAAAGAATAAAATAATCCTTCAACTGAAATTCGTTCTTAATATGATTCAATGTTGCAAAATCTAATTTGTACCAACAGAAACCAAACATGCAAACAGAAAACAGTCACATTCTAGTCTGATACTAAATTTAAAGCCACTGTAAAGCTGCAAGAACACAAAGTCTTACTGAGTATTTTCAGTCTGGTTTCTACAAATAACTTGAAATAAATTGGTTCAGAAACCAATATCTGGTGGAATAACTGGGAGGTTTTTAATGGGATTCAGTGCAGTGGGCTCTTCATTTAGTCCAGAGCTGTATATTTGGTAAGATTAAAGTTATCTTTACAAAAAGCATAAATATTGCATCAATCCCCCCTACAATCTGAAACAGATGAATAAACTGTGTTCAAAAGCTTAATCCAATCCCATTTACCTTCCAGCATCATGACCAGGAAGGTGTTCACCAACACCAGGGAGCGCTGGCGCCAGCACAACGTCAACACGGCCTTCGCAGAGCTGCGTAAGCTCATCCCCACCCATCCTCCGGAGAAGAAGCTGAGCAAGAACGAGATCCTGCGCCTGGCCATGCGCTACATCAACTTCCTGGTGCAGCTGCTGGAGAGCCAGAGCGGCCAGCCGGCCGGCCACTCCTCCACCGCCCTGCTCAGCTTCCTGAAGGGCAACATGGAGCGGCTGCACTCGCCTCCCCAAACCTGGACCGCCAACAGCGACACCGAGGCGCCGTCGCCCGGATCCAGGAGTGACAGCTCCGAGGCCTGGTAGACGAGAAGAACATGGACGACTTTTCAAACTGTTTTTTTTAAATGGGGGAATAAAAACTTGTTTGTGTTGTGGAAGATGAGAAGAGTCCCTCCAGCGATGCTGATTATTTATAAAATATAATTTCCAGGAGTAATTTATACGTTTTCTGCATGGAAGTGTCCCACGTTCCCTTCGTGTCTCCATGTTTGCATCCCTTGTTGCTGGAACTGATTTAATTTTGCAAAAATTCCTTGTTTTCCAATGAGGAAAATGGAGGATTATGGATTTTCTGATTCTGATTTAGATTAAATGAGCAATAGGTGAAGACTCAGATACATCTCCAGACAGCAAAAGAGCACTTTTTGTTTTATTTCCTTTAAAATACAACAACTCAATCAACAACAGAGCACTAGGGCCATGAAAATAAAAAATTACAAGACTAAAGTCAATGTAATGCTGGAATAATCACTATTATATGAGAATAGCTAATATTTTGAGAATAAAGGGAAAATATTGAAAATAAATTCAAAATAATATGAGAATAAAGTTGTGAATTACCAGAATAAAGTCACAATATGACTTTGTTCGAGACTTTGTTTTAATTATCACTATTTTATTATTTTGATTATTCTCGTACAACTTTACTCTCATAATATTAGGACTTTATTCTCTGAATTTCATTTCATCATTTCTTAGCCCTAATAACTTGTCTGACCTTTTTCCATTTATCGAGTTTCTGAGGCTTCAGATAAACCAGATTCCCTGTTTTTCTTCCTCTTTCTCAAAACTCAGCAACTGATTTCTGATGTTTGGATGAAACTGACAATCTGCTTTCAGTCATTGCTCACAAACATTAGATTTCAAAGGAATTTTGGGGTTTTTGTATTAATTGTTTTGTAAATACGCATGTGATATGATGGCCAAAGATAATGAACTGATTGTTAACTGTGACGAGTGTGTAAATTATCAATCTTATATGTCATTGCTAATTTATTTTTGCTTCACTGGTGGACACATAGTATCTTATTTATTTTAACTATTTATTCAATAAAGGATTTGTTAATTATTTGGGTGTTTGTCTTTTTGCTTTTTGTGAAATATTCTCACAGAAACACAGTAAATGACAGAAGTACTGACCCAGTTTTTATTACATTCAAGACTTTAAGGCTATAAATGTCCAGACATTTTCTCACATTTCTAAATAACATTCTAGGTATTTGAGTTCAAAGTTTTCACCTCAAGCGTCAATTAGAAATACGGTTAAATTATCTAAATGTCCCACAATAATGAAACAAAACATTAAGAAATGGTTTCTGATATTAAGCTCTGAGTCATTTCTCTGCTCTTGGTGCAAGTCGATCTGAAATAGACTCCTAATCGAAATGTAAATTTCTAATTTTTTGTAAAGCCTGGCAGTTATTATATAAATTACGATTAAACATTCATCCTACTTCAATACAGTTGTAGAAAATATTTTTTCCCCTTCTTAGTTTGTTTTCTGCAACTAACCAGAAATAAAGAAACTATGAAGGTAATTTCCAGAATTTTCAAAAAGCAAAACCACTTGAATTTCAGGATCACAGCCATTTTTCAAGATGGCTGCCAGTTTGACTGCATATATTGTCACACTTTGGTAACTGAAGCAAAGAGGAAAAGCTGCTGCTTTGTGTCATCAAGGCTCAGAGGTTTGTTCCTCTGCAGCCATGTGGACACAAGCCTGACCTTTGCCCTTCGTCCACTGACCAGAGGCCTGACAGAGAAACGGCTCGATGTGCCCGCTTAACTTGTAACCCCGGAGGTCAGAGGTCGCTCCGAAGTCAGACGCTGTCCAGTTGGTCGTTGTGCAGACGGCGTTCCTGGAGAGACGATGTCATAAACGCAGAGAGCAAACAAAAGAATTCCTGGAAGAAAAACAGAAACAAAAGTCATTTAGACAGGATGATGTAAATGTAGAGATAAAACAATGAACCTATCAGTTGGATGGATGGATATTGACCCGTTCAATGGATATTGACTGTTTGGATGGATATTTAATCCACATTACAGAAACTACATTTCCAGGTTTTTCCAGGCTGCCTTTACAGAAAAGTGAAAAATTTCCATAATGAAAATGAAAACCTGCTTCCTCAGACATCTGTGATTTTCTGAGTTCCTCTCTTGTTTACGGCTGAACTGACGACAGCAGTCGGTTCATTTCAGCCTCCCGGCGAACATTTAGTTGCTTAAACATCTTTTGTGGCCGATCCTCAGACAAAACATGGCGGTTAACTGAGCTGAAGAGTAAACACTACTCTGACTCCAACCGCTTCAACCGGGGGAGTCAAACTGACTAAACGAAGCCGAGCCCAGCTGGACTCAACGACTGGAGAGAAATGACAGCTGATCCTTTGTCACACTGGAAAAACACAAAATATTGCCAAGTATTTATGGTAAAATAAGTAAAAATATATACATATTTTTACTTGAAATCAAGAGCACTGATTTCAAGTGCTCTTGAAATCAGACAAAACTAAATTACAAGTAACTTTTCAGCAAGACATAGAAGCTTGTTTTAAGTGAGTAATTCCTTAATATTGATGAAAAACTACTGGTTTACTTAGCTCACTCTATAAAGTGAAGTGATTTAAAAATACTGCTATTTCAGCAATAATATAGATTTATTATTGCTTCTACTTCTTGCTGAAATAGAAGCTTGTAAGTTAGTTTAGTCTTTTTTAAGATATTATCACTAGAAACTAAACTTAAAAATACTTGGTAAGATCTTGTGTTTTTACAGTGCAGACCTGAAAAATAAATAAAATCATGTAACACAGACTATTACACAAGTATTTTTGGCCAGGTTTCCAGTGCAAATATTTTAGTACAGTAGAAATAAAACTAAACAAACTTATAAGTGACTTTTCAGGAACATTTTAAGTCAATAATCCCTTAATACTGATGAATAATGTACTGGTTGTGTTGGTAGATTATTTTTAATTTAAACATGGTGAAAATGTTTGGTTATGAGTTAACTCGACATTTTTCATCAATACTGAGGAATAATTGACCTAAAACAAGCTCCTATTTATTGCTGAAAAGTTGCTTCCAAGTAAGTTTTGTCTCATTTTTAGTGAACTAAGATATTTTCACTATAAACTAGACAAAAATACTTGGTAGGATTTTGTGTTTTTGCAGTGATAAGCTTTGCAGTTTCTTTGAAAATTGGAATATTAGCTGGAAATGCTGTCATAACAACACTTTATTTACAGATTCCTCCGAACATTACGGTTTTTCTGCACAGACAGGAAAAACCTGATGTGTAAATAAAAAAACATAACAAATCTGCATGCCTCTCACTCCCTCCGCATCTTCCTGATTGACTATTCCTTCGTGAGCATGCGGGTAATCATCTATTGAGAGCACATTTCCTTATCAGTGTCTGGCATGCTGTCTGAATCCGTTATCACAATGGAGCAGATCGGCGCAGGCAGCCCCACGCTCTCCCGGCTCCATAAAGAGAGCGTTTCTGGAGCTGGGCGCCAGCCGATAGGCCCTGAGCTCTTTATCCCCTTAAAGCCAATTCACCCTTTGCATGTTTAAATATCTCAGCTCAACCCCTGCCCTTCCTCTCCCATCTCGGCACTCGAGCCGCTCTCCTCCCCCTCCTCCCAATCTCAGCGGGTCCGAGGCTGAACCGCGGCTGTAATCGACCTGCGACGTGGGAGCGGAAGATGCAGGTGCAAGGGCTGCGTGTCCGCTGCCAGAGGAGGGGAGTCCTCCATTGTTGGGCTGGACAGCACCCTCTCTCTTCTGGAGCACCCTGTGAAGGAAACAGGGGGCACACAGAGACAATCACGCATCCTAATCTGATTATGCAAATGTCTACTTCAAAAGGCAACACTCTGTAACCCTCAGCAAGTGGTGCAAAGGAGGCAGAGGAAGCAGCAGGAATGTGAGCAAATGCATGGTAAATTCCTATGAAAATGAAATTAAAATAAATCAGAAATCAAGATATTTTGCTGTTTTCATCTCAGGTTGCTGTGTCCCACCAGGGGGAGGTGTAGGAATGAGAACGGAAGATATTCGCGGTGTGAATGGATGCTGACTCGCTCAACAGGGATTGAATTCAGTATTCAAATAGCCATTGTTTTTCCAGCCGCCCCTGAATCCAGCGTCATAAGGGAATCTACAATTTTAATGAGGGGGATGAAGTGCACAGCTTTTTTTCTAAAACAAAATAGAAACTTTAAAACCTTTGCTTTTTGTTGTGTCCGCTATATCAGGAACACCCACCAGTGCCTGTGAGTTGATGGGAAAGGTGGATATCTGGCTGCTGAGAACCTACTGGGATTTAGATTTTCCTCGTCCACTCTTCCCCAACTTTAAGTTTGTTGGAGGGATTCACTGCAAACCAGCTAAGCCATTACAAAAGGTGGGGTTATAATCCACCAATTCAAACGTTACCTTAAGTTTTGAAATAATCACAACCAAAATACAGAATAAAAGCCAACTAACTGGCCTATTGACTGAAAAATTTAGTTATTTTGCAGAAAATGGAAACGTTTGTCCAGAGCGCTGGAGATGCTGGGATTGTTGTTTTCTCTTTAGGATCAATGATCAAGAACCTCACCACAGAGAAAGCGAACATGATCACCTCAGTGCTCGCTCAACTTCCACAAAAGGTAAAAAAAAATTTTTACCTTTGTTGCTTTGTTGCAGTGAATCAGTAGGTTGGAATCAAAACATTTGCGTTTCTCTCTCGCTTTTTTGAAACGTGTAACTAAAAGTTACACGTATACAATTAAGTTCGGAAATATATTGAAGTAAAAGTGAAAGTTATCAAAAATTTTCTTACTTGAGGAAAGTATAATGTACTCCAAAATATACTTAGGTAAAGTAGTGAAGTATTTTTACTTCGTTACTATACAACACTGCTCCTAGTCCGTCTTGGGGATGGAACAGTCATTTGGATGTTTAGAAATGTCCAAATGACTGTTTAAAATGATGGATTATTTATAAAAAGAAAAGAAAAATAATTTATTACTGAAAGTCTTAGAAATCCTCAAATATTTATTCCAAGATTTGATCTGAACTGTCTTGATGGCATCAGTGTCCTCATGAAAGCTTTAGCTGGTTTGCAGTGAATCCCTCCAACAAAGCGACAGTAAAGAAGTTAACGTCACACTATAACCACCGTGCGTTTCCTTCGTCATTGTTTCATCTTTTTCAGCAACTCTCTGCTGGTGCATCTTGGGTTTCCGCCTCCTCTTTGGCTCTAATCTGAAACAGTCAAACTGAGTAAACACTTCTGACTGGAGGGCAAGTCCGAGGATGAAAACATTCATTGAACACCCTGAAGACTTACAATGCTGCTCACCTAATCCAGGCTGAAGATTCCCACAGCTGTGCTGAGATACAGCGGTGTGACACCTCTCATTGGCAACACCGATATAAAAGACTCTTCTTCTAGTTAGAACAAACACTGAGCGCTGGCAGATATGGTTGCCTCTGACCGACACTGGATTATGATTTTCCAATATTATTCAGTTAGAAATTGAAAACACTCACCTACTCACGGTGCTATGTATTTGCCTTTTATTTACAACAGTTTTTATGGAGTGAGCCTATTATCTTGCTTAATTTGTACAAAGCACAGAAGGTCAAAGTTCATTTAGTTAATCAGTACCTTTAAGATACAGCTGTTACAAAGACCGCAGCTGGTTTATTTACACACACAGCCTCCATGGAGCTGCGTCTCTCTGTCTGCGTCCTGCTGCTACTTTGTGATGCAGAAAACTCAAATGGTGGTACACTGAGGCCAGCCACTGGATGAACATGAAATCGGTACTGGAAACACTGGTGGACAGAGGACACCAGGTGACGGTTCTGATCCCGAGCGCGTCGATGTTCATGAACAGCAGCGAACCGTCTCGCTTCCAGTACGAACCTTTTGACGTCGATGTCTCAGTAGAAGATTTAGAAAAGAATTTTGAAGACATTATTCACTTCTCCATATATGAGATGGAGTTCAAGAACTCCTTTGAGATTTATACACATTTTTTAGATTTAATGAAGAAAAACATACAGCTTTCTCTTAAATTCTTAGATGGGGTTGTGAAATCAGAAACCATCATGACGAAGCTGAAGGAGGGAAACTACGATGTGTTATTTGCTGATGCAATCTACAGCGGAAGTTACCTGACTGCCGATATTTTAAGCATTCCTCTCGTCCTTTCTTTGCGTTTTTCCTCGGCTCATAATGCTGAGAGGATGTGTGGTCAGCTTCCTGCGCCACCGTCCTTCGTTCCGGCTGCTATGAGCAAACTCACAGATAAGATGAACTTCTCAGAGAGACTGTTCACGTCCTCTTCTATGCTCTGCAGGACGTTGTAATAAAACTGTTCATGTTGAAAGATATTGACGAATATTTTTCTGAAATCAAAGGTGAGAAACCCATTTGTAATTCCAGACTATTCGTTTTGAAAAAAAATTGAAAACTTAAAAAATCTTTGCCTTTTGTTGTGTCTACTGTATCAGGAACACCCACCAGTGCCTGTGAGTTGGTGGGAAAGGCGGATATCTGGCTGCTGAGAACCTACTGGGATTTTGATTTTCCTCGTCCACTCCTTCCCAACTTTAAGTTTGTTGGAGGGATTCACTGCAAACCAGCTAAACCTTTGCCAGAGGTGTGGTTATAATCCATCAATTCAAAAGTTGCTTAAAGACTTGAACTAAACAACCAGCCAACAGAATACAGAATTTAAATCCTAACTGGCTCAATGACTGAATATATTACTTTTTTACAGGAAATGGAAAAGTTTGTCCAAAGCTCAGGAGATGCTGGTATTGTTGTCTTCTCTTTAGGATCGATGGTCAAGAACGTATCCACAGAAAAGGCGAACATGATCGCCTCAGCGCTCGCTCAGCTTCCACAAAAGGTCAAGAAAATCCACGTAACAATCAAACTCTGCTCAGGGTCAGGAGAGGTAACAAAGTGTCAAGATGATAAAAAAAAAGGATGTAAAAGGTTTCTTACAAGAAACTTCGGCGACAGGAGGTAGAACTCAAACCAATAAACAATCAAAACCAATAAAAGATTTGGTATGCTGGGTAAAAAATACCTACTGAAAATAAAACATTAAATATTTTCAAACTACCACAAAACAAAGCAAACAAAACACAGGGGTGAAGCGCCAACCAACCTGCAACTGATAATGGTTTAAAACTGCAGAAATGTCTGATAATCCAACAGGTTGTAAAGATGATCAGATTAAATAATTTGATTGAACCATTTAGCATAATGGTTCAAAATCTAAATGATCTTCAAAAAGCAATGAATAGAAGTAACAAAGAGTCACCTGTAAAGTCAGTCCAAAACCGCCTGGTGAAAAATTTGCATTTATTTTGTGATCCATTAAGCTTTCAAAGGAGGTGCAGGGCGAAAGTTCCCAATGGTCTGGGTGTGTTGCCATGGTTCAATCTGTGTTTCTGACAAAGTAAACTTTTAAATATGTAGAATATCCCAAAAATCAAGATATGGATGACTTATACTTTGTTTTAAAATAATAATATATCAAATCATAAAACCAGTTTTGACCATTTTTAGGTGCTGTGGAGATACAGTGGCCAGAAACCCCAGACTCTGGGATCAAACACCAGAATATACGACTGGATCCCACAGAACGACCTGCTGGGTGGGTAAATAATAGCATCCATCACATTTTAGCATCATTAATGTTAAAATAAACAATGACAACCGAAACACCCAGAAATGCCCCATTGCAACATTTGTTAACATTGCTAACTTTTTTTCTAAATTCCCTTTTTCTAAAAATTTATTATTTTGATGCATAGAAGTATCTCAGAAGAAATGTAAATATGTGGATTTATGCCTCTAAAAAACAACTTTATGTGAGCCTAACTAGCTTTTCATCCAGCATAATTTATATAAAAATTAACTCCTAATGTTTTCTACCAGGTCATCCTAAAACCAAAGCTTTCATCACTCATGGTGGGACAAACGGGATTTATGAGGCCATCTACCACGGCGTTCCCATGGTGGGAATCCCCATGTTTGGTGACCAGCCAGACAACATGGTGCACATGGAGGCCAAAGGAGCTGCAGTCACTGTTCAATTTAACTTTATAACAAATGAGAGCCTCAGAGATGCCGTAAACATGGTCATCAAAAATAAATCGTAAGTCGTTTTTTTTCCTTATGCGACATTTATCATATGTATGGTAACAAAACATACATTATTTATTCTTGATGGACAAATGTAAGAATTGCCATGGAGTTATGTTGTAAACAGATGTAGCATGTACAACAGGGGTCCGTGGACCATTTATGACCCTTGAAATTATTTTGTGCGGTCCACATTAACAATTTAATAACAGTTGAACTAAATTGTTAATGTGTAACAGTTAAACTGTTAATACAGTTAAATGATTTTCCAGATAATTTTTTCTTTCAATTTTGGGACAAGATGCTCATTAACTTGAGACCTTTGAAAAAAGATACAAAGAATAGTTTTGGACAGAAGAACTTAAGGTAAAGCATAATGTATACAGCTAAGTTATTTATTTTCCCTCGTCATCCACAGGTACAAGGAAAACATGATGCGACTGTCTAGAATCCACCATGACAGACCCATGAGTCCTCGAGACGAGGCGGTCTTTTGGATCGAGTTCACCATGAGGAACAAAGGAGCCAAACACCTGAGGGTCCAGGCCCACGAACTCACCTGGTACCAGTACCACAACCTGGACATCCTAGCCTTGTTCCTTGTTATAGATCTGCTCCTCATCTTCATCCTCTTCAAGAGTTACAGATTCTGTTTCAAGAGATGCTGCAGCAGAAAACAGACAGAGAAAAGCAGAATAACAGACTGAAGCGAGGTACACTGTTCAGGTGCTTTTCTAACATAATAAAGTATTTTGAGGTGTTCATGGAATTGCAGTTTTAAATTTATACAAATTTAACATCAGGATGGAGGACACATAAAAATAAGTATTCTCACGAATTTTTTTGTACTTTTTGTTATTCTCTGTCCAGCATTTCTCAAATTCAGGCCAATTCAAGTATGATTCTGCCACCACTATGTTTCCTGTGATGCCATTGAACCCAACCTAGAATGCCTCTTGACAGCAAACAGGTTTAGATGTCGGGTGCTTTCACACCTGACAGTGCAGTAGACTTGGTTTGACTGGGGACCAAAACTGCAACGTTTGTTAAATTGTCGGCTGCGTCAAATAAACCGAACATTTAAATAAAACCTGTTCCCCACCTTCACCTGTGGTGGCGCTGAACCAGGAAATTCTAACAAAAAGTGAGAATCTCAGAAGAAGACTCAGAGTTCCACTTCCTTCTTCACGAAAGGTAAACAAATGTGAAATGATGTCGCACTTTAGCGATTATAAGAATTTGCTTTTATTGTTAATAAAAGACCACAAGCCATTAACAGTAAAGTCAATTAAATCCTATTTAACTAATCTTTTTTAGTTATTAAAATTATTTGTAGCCAATCCTGGTATATCTTGACTGTCAGTGGCTGTTTTCTTTTGTCATCGACTGATTTGACAATAGACATTTATTAACAAATAAATGTCTAATTTTAGTGTTCCTCAGTATGCGGTTCTTGTTGGGGCACACAGTATTCTTTGAGATTTGATTTGCCTCCTGAAAAAGTAAAATTCGTCAAAAATTATCTTTTTCTTGGATTCCTAGTTGTCTCTCTGATCCCTATATTTTTACTCATCAGGCGAGAATTTTAAGTCTGTTTCTGCCGTGCAAGACTAAGATATTTGTGCAGAATAAAGAAATAGTAGAAATTTCAAGAAAGTGATCATTTTGGAGGTGGAGGGTTAATTCTTTTTATTTAAGAGTCTTGTGAGCGATCATGTCAAAGTCTTCCCAAATGTCAGAGTTTTTCTTCTTGCTGGCTCCATTTCAATAAAGTTTATTTGTGTTGCACGTTTCAGCAGCAATGTGGTTTCAAAGCGCTTGACATAATAAAAAACACAAATATAATGTAAAACCGGAAACAAATATTACATTTTGATGAGTGCCATCAACAAAATCGTTAATATACATGAACTAAAAAAGGTTCCTTTTATTTCAGCCACTGCTGAAGACAAATACTCCTCTGATGAGCGATCAAATACAATAACCCATGAAGCAGCACGGCTCATCATGCTTTTATTTTGAAAACAAACACGCAAATATGAAGCAGTCACGTGACCCTTGAACTGTGAAGCACCGTTTGTTGTCAGTCACGTGGTTTTCAGCAAGACAACACAAGCATCAAAGCTGGGCTTCATCTGACGCCCCCCAGTTTAACCAGTACACGTCCAGCTGCAGATGACCCATCACCACCGCACTACTGAATCCATTGTCACTTTCAAGTTTCAAACGTGATGATTCAACTTAACAAAAACAGCCAGATTTAAAGTTTATGAAATCACTAATCAGTATTTAGAGCCATCATGAAAAAATCTAAAGGATTCTTACTTTATAAATAATCAAAATAATACTATCAGTACAGAGAGGCCTTTGACAAATAATGACTAGTACACTGACGAAACTCTTCTTGTGCATAAAAACTAAACAGTGTATTACAACTAGTTCTAAAAGGTCCAACAAGGGCATTTTTGGGCCAGTTGTTTTTCCAGTAAAAGGATGAAAACTGTGGTTTTCATGTGCATTGCCATCAAATCTTTAAAAAATTCAAGACTCAAAGAGAAAAAAGGTAGACAAATAAGGTTCACTCTAGCTTCCACCACACCTTAAAATTTGACAATCGCACAAAGGTGACGTAAGCCAGATTCAACTTTCTCCTCATTAAACGTCAGCAAAATACACACCTCTTTTCCTTGAATTAGAGGTGTGTCT